GTCTTGTGTTAACAAAAACTTTGTTTGACTTCTTTAAAATATTTGTTGCCTAGTAAGAAGTGTCTCCTTCTTCTACTTTCCCTTTCGCAGTCAAAGGAGACAGCAAAATTCTGAATAGGAGATATTTCTTCCTAACAACCGCTTTGTTGCCATGTCTCCTGTACCCCAAACAATAGATACTAAACCCTGCTATAGAAGCACTGTGTCTCCGCAGTAACTCTAAACTTTTCTCTAAGACCCTGAGCTAAACCCTAAACCCTAAACCCTAAACCCTAAGAGTGAAGCCCCTTCTCCCCTCAATAGCGGTAAGTGCATATCTGGGACATAAATACTGAAAACTAAACATTTCATGTGAACCTCTCTCTTCTCCACTTTAAAATTATTCTCAAGAAAAAACCCTCCAGGGGACTGCAGTTTGTCTTGCAGCACTTCCTGCAGCAGCAGCGTCTGTTGCCGGGGTGAACATCGAGTCCTCATACGCTGCTTGCGCAGGTGTTGCTGCAGCAAGAGCAACAGCAGCAGCAGTAGCAGCAGCAGAATGTGCTGGAGCAGCTGCTGCGAGGACTACATTAATACAGATCGGTTTGGTACACAAAGATGGAAAAGTAAAAGAAAAGAAGACACAGTTAGAGACCCTGGAGAAACAAAGAAGGGTGAGCAATAGCTCAGAAGATAAATGCATGCATGCATGCATGCATGCAAGCATGCATGCATTCATCTTCTTCATTTGAAATATAGTGTAGCCAGTTAACTCAGGCATAAAAGCCAAAACCCACAACAGCGCAGAGAAATATCAACAAACAACCCCCCAAAAGTCAACGATGAATGCTCAAGGAGAGGAATAATATAGACAAGCAAAGAAGCACACAAAAGAGACACACAACTGAAAAGAGACAGCAAGTGAAGAAGGAGAGAAGGAGCATGCACAAGGAAACAGTCTAACCCTCATCAGCACCGGCAGCAGCAAAAGTGCTGCTGCCCACAGCAGCAGCTGAAACAGCAGCAGCAGCAGCAACTGCTGCTGCTGTAAATCCTGCTGCTGATGACGGCAATCGTGGAGGAGAGGGGCCTAGCCGGTGGCGTTGTTTGTTTCGTCAGTGATGGGCATAGCAGCAAACGCACCTTCACCTTCAGCTGCAGCAGAGATAACTTGAGTTGCTACTGCAGTAAGTGCAGCAGCAACTGCAGCAGCAGGAAGAGCAGATGCTTGTCTGCTTTGCTTGTTTAGATTGCGTTTTTTTTCTGTCTCCTCTCTGTCTCCTCCTTCTATACCTCATCATGGGTTTTCTGCTCTTTTGGGGGCTTTCTTTTTCCGCAGCTGCAGCACATTAGGGAGTGTAAGCCCAGTGAGGTTCTCAAGAGCTTCTATATTAACTGCATGTGGTGTTTCTCTCAATACTTCTTCTTCTCTCTCCTCTTGAGACATACGTGGTGGTTCTGCTGGTGCTTTTGGTCTTATAGCTGGTAGTGTGGCGACATCGAAGTGGGGACAGAAATCTGCTTCTCTTCTTTCTGCTCTTTCTAGTGTTTTATATATTTGGTTTTCTGTATCTTGTAGTGCCTCCATATGAGCTTCATGTACACTCTTTAGTATTTCTTCATCGTCTCCATATTCTTCTTTTCTTCTCTTTGCTTCTGTTATAGCATTCAAGAAACTTTGGTTGACTGTCTCCGCTATACTTTCTCTGCTTATAGACAACAACCACATTTGTTTTTTCTCTAGATATTTCACTGTCTCCTCGAGCTTCACCAGATATGAATGAGCTGCAACAAGCGTCTGCGGCAACTCTACACACCAATACCGAGAAGCAGAAAGTACATTAAGTCCTTGTCTCAGTTCATCAGCACTTTGCTCGTATGCTTCTTTTTGTATTTCAAGAGCATACAACTCCCCCTCTATCTCTTGCCATCTGTTGTTTATATGTTGCTGCTGCAACTCCCCAGCAGGCCCCTCTGATGCTCTCTGTATTAGCAGTGCTACTGGTAGCTGCTGCAGTGTCTCCGTCAACCTAAACCCCCAAAGAAGATGCTGAGCTTTGCTGCTTGAGAGCCGTATCTCTGTGTAGCTCTCTAGGATTTCTCTTAGTGCTATAAGAGAATCATCAACATTTCTTTCTAAGAAACCCAACCATGCATGCTGAGGGTCACCTTCACCAGCGAGATATGTAAACATATCTGGGGAGAATTCATAGTATTTATGCCTCATTCTTCTTAGTAATCTTAATCTATCATTTATTCTTTTTGTTCTATTTTCTATAGAAGCAAACGCAACAGCTTCAGGCTCCTCTACCTGCTCCTTTAGCTTTCTACGTAGATTCTCAACACCTCTCTCTAGCTGTTGTATATACTGCTGCATCTCTGGTATTGCTGCATACAGGTGACCCAGACCATCATCTACTGCTTTCTTTCTTTCTACTTTATCATCGATACGTTTCTCTGCTGCAATCACTGCATCTCTCGCAACACGAACAGACTCAGGGTCTTGCAGGTGAGATACTTCTTCATCAGCCCCCATAGCTGCACCAAACGCCTCCTGTCCCCCCCCAAAAGGAGACAGTGGGTCTCCATACAGAGACAGCGGGCCCTCACCAGAAGGAGACAGTAGGTCTCCAGCAGCAGGAGACATGGGGTCACCTGCAGCACCAATGGTGGGTGTTCCGTACCCACTAGGATATGGAGGCACCGGCGGCGGCATATCCCGTGAAGCATTCAATCTATCAGCTAGAGCCAGAGCTCCTGCTGCTTTTAGTTCTTCATCAGTAACAAAAGCTTTTGCTTTGAGTAGTGTATAAAGGGCCTTAGCGAGTTGAACTTCTTCTGCGTTTCCAGCTGGTATCTGTGCCTCTGCTTCTAGTGTTTTATATTTTTCATCCATCAATACTAACTCCTGTCTCGCCTGCAGCAGCTCCCGCTCCTCTGGGTATAGCTTTGCCTGCTCCTCCTCAAGAAAAGGATATATCTCTATAGGGGGCTCTGGCGGCGTCAGCAGCCTATCGAGAGACTGCTTGTATCTCTCTAGCTCCTCCTGTGCATCCTTCAGCACCATCTCTCTTACCATGTATAGAGAGGGGGCCTCTCTGAGGTCTTCTAGCTCTTCTTCTAGCTTTCTTGCTTCTCTTTCTATATCTTGTATTTGTTTCATTAGTACCTGTTCCTCACTTGGTTGCTGCTGCTNTTTCTTGCTTCTCTTTCTATATCTTGTATTTGTTTCATTAGTACCTGTTCCTCACTTGGTTGCTGCTGCTGCTGCTGCTGCTGCTGCTGCAGTTGCTGCAACTCCTCTTCTAGCTTATTCATAGACTCAGACAATGCTGCAGCTTCTTCCTTTAGTGCTTCTGTATCCTTCTCCGGCATCTCTGCCCTCAGCAGCTCCAGCTCCTCTCTGCTGCTCTGCAGCAGCAGAGACAGCTGCTGCAGCTGTCTCTTCTTGCTTGCTAGTGCATCTTCAACTGTCTCCGATTGCTGCAGCCCCGCCAGTGCTGCATCTATCCTTTCTTCTTCTGCTGCTAGAATACTGTTCTCCTGCTGCAGCTGCTGCAGCAGAGCCTCTGCTGCTGCATCGTCCTTAACCCCCTGCAGCACCCTAGCTACATCTAGACTGAGATATGCTTCATGCTTTGCTGCTATTGCTTTATGCATTCTTTCTTGTAGTGCTGCTATCTCTTTTGATTCTCTAGCTTTTGCTTCTATTGCTTTTGTTGCTGCCTTGGCTACCGCTTCGTCTCTCCTCCTATCCAGCTGCTGCAGCAGAGCATCTGCTTCCTTCATTTCTGTATTTAGTCTCTCTAGTTCTTGTTGTGTTGATAAACAAAATTCTTTTTCTCTTTCTAGTGCTGCATCTGTTGCTTGTCTGCTCTCTGCTGCAATCAGTCCCTGTTCAACTTCTTTATCTCTTGCTGCTGCTGCTGCTGCATTGCGGCGTTCTGCTAGCAGCACATAAGCAACAAGTAAACCCAGAAGAGCTGTACTAGCATATCCTGCTGCTGATGGTAGCCAAGGGGAGTTCCCGTTGCTGGTGGTTGTTGTGGCGGTTGCTGTTGGTCTGTTGCTGCCTCTGCTGCTGCTGCCTCTGCTGCGCCCCACACTGCCTGGGCCCCTGGGAGCAGTTGATGGGGATCGTGAGGATCGTCGGGATCGGGGTCGAACGGAGGTGACTGTCTCTCGTCGGCTCCCCACACCTGCTGCTCCTGCTGCTGTTGCTGCTGTTGCTGCTGCTCCTGCTGCTTCACCTTCTGCATCTGGGGAACCCTCAAGCGAAGCCTCTCCCGCATCAGCAGCAGCTGGTTCTTCTACAGAAGCACCCGCGCAGCTGGGAGTTGCTGCTACATATAGCAGCAGCAGCAGCAGCAGCAGCAGCAGCAAACGCCCCAACCTACCCTGTACAAAACTATCCATCCTCAACCAGCGGCTGCCAGCATCTGCAGTCATCGCCACGGGATCCTTTTTTCACAGAAAAAGGCACACGCAGCGGCTGCTGCTGCTGCTATATCTGTTGTATTTGTTGCTGCTGCTGCTGGTTTTTATCTTGCTGCTGCTGCTGCTCTTGCTGCAGCCACAACCTGTACTGGATTCTTATAACGCCGGTGATAGAAACTCTCCCACGCAACTGGCGACGGCGACAGCGGCCACTGCGGCGGTCTGGGATCGTCTGGGATCGCCTGGGATCGCCTGGGGTCACCTGGGAGCGCCTGGGGTCACCTGGGATCGCCTGGGGTCACCTGGGATCGCCTGGGGTCACCTGGGATCGGCTGGGATCGGCTGGGATCGTCCACGACCAAACTGGGATCGTGTGGGATCGACCACTACGCAGCGGGCGGGAGTTGCCGCCGCAGCTACTGTTCAATACCCTAGAACTTCCCTCGGGCTCTGCTGGCGCTTGGTGCTGCTCTCAGCAGCAGCAGCTCCTGATGTAGCTGCAGCAGCAGCAGCAGCAGCAGCAGCGAGAGTAATATCTTGGTGTGTCACTGCAGCCCCAGGGGCTTGCGTGTATGGGTTTGGTGGGATAGGGGGTTGATGAATATATAAAAGAATAAATAAAATTAAAAAAGAAAAAGGAGAATCAACAGATTTCCCTAGAAAAATACAATCATTGTTGTTTGTTGCTTGCTGCCTCTCGTCCCCACAGGCGGCGTTCGTTTTCTCTCTACCGAAATAAAGAGTTTATCGTTTGCTGTTTTCTTAATATTTCAGCGTTTGCAGCTGCCTATACACCCCAATAAAACCCCACAAATGCGCTTTGGCCGCCCGCAAAAGAAAATTATCATTTATATAAGCCTCTCATCAGCAGCAGCTGACCAGCAGCAGCAGCAGCAGCAGCAGCAGCAGCAGCAGCAGCAGCAGCAGCAGCAGGGAGCGGCGGCTGAGGCGGCACGAGCGGCTGCACAAGCAGCAGCTGTGGGTTCAGGGGGGATCTGGTTGTTTATATAAATGAAATTAATTATTAAATTATATTATTATGATTAATAATATTATAAATTTGTTAATAAACTACAGGACTAGGCAATACCCAAAGAAGGAACGGGCAGCGGGAGCCACAGCAGCAGCAGCAGCAGCAGCAGCAGCAGCAGCAGCAGCAGCCACAGGCACATTTGTACCTTCAGAGAG